TTTTCCGCATCGATTGGGAAGGAAAAGGGAAGGTGTATGTAAAATTAAAAATTTGCAAGTGTGAAAAAAGAAGAAGAAGAACTACAATAACTAAAGAGTCTTCGATTTTATTGAAGAAGAAGAAGAAAAACGACAATAACTAAAGAGTCTTCGATTTTATTGTATGAGCCGTGTTAGGCTATAATAACTAAAGGAAAACGACATGCGGGCATAGAGCTTGACTGTGAATAGTAAATATCATACCAAATTTGAGCAAAACTAACATTTCCAAATGAAATTTATTCTGATTGATCTCTTACTTTGAAGTTACAAATATTTTTAATATTCTGAAAATTAAATCTTCTTCGGTTTTGGTTGACTTTTTAGGCATTTAAAATTATTATTCAACACAAATTCCTTGCCCATGCATGGTAGTGGCATGGCAATCAAGCCAAGCCCGGAAATTTCCATTCTTTTCACCCCTTTTGTTTTCATTAACCGCGTTTTGTTTCATTTTAAACAAAGTCGGTTTCCAAAAGACGACCTTCTTGATCACGCATTTTATCATTAATTAACTTTTTTCCCTTAGGAGACGTCCCAACTGTTTGAGTTGAAAATTTTAAAAAGGAAAAGAAAAAGTTCAAAAACATAAGGCCGGGGGTGGTTGACACTAAATATATTTTCCATGCCTGTAAGGTGATATTTGGTGATAAAGTCCTCGATCTTTTTTTTTTAATTACAAAGTATAAAGCAATATATAATTATATACAATATAAATATCATAACTTAAACACAATACAGAAGTCCATAATCATTGATTAGCTGATGTACAGTATATTCTTGGTGGTGGTGGGTATGTAACATCTTTGGTTTAAGTGCTTGTGGTGCCGGAGTATTTCAAATGTAAGATTAGTCGAACCAAAATTTGAATATTCTTATAATTATAATAATAATAATAATAATTTGGATGTTGGATTGTAAAAAATTAGTCATTAAATTATAAAAATATATAAAAAAAATAATTTATTAAATAATTAATATTTTACAATTTAAATTACAAAACATCAAACTTTTATGTTACAAATATTTTCAAATTTTTACAGGTGAAAAAAGGAAACCTAAGTGTTTTTCAACAGAAGACTCTCGCGAATACGACAGAACTGGCGTACTTCAACATTCGACAACTTAGCATTCGGTGTGTTAATTTTTTCTGCTTCTGTTAGGATGATAGAAAACATAAATATTTTAAGAGCAAAAGATAATGAAATTAAAACGGGGCAAAAGTAGTAGTATATTGATTGATTATAAAGAATTATTTGTCTCTTCTGATTTGTTTATTCCCCTGCCTTGATTTATAGTTGTGCAGGAGACTTTCGCTGTGTTACCCATCTTTCCTTGCATCTAAGAATAGTGGACTGATCAAATAGCAGACTGGACGTTGATATGCCAAAAACCTATTTCAAACGTTTTAGTTATGTGCCCCAAAGGTGTTATTTGTCATAAATTACATTTGTTTTATATGTCAATGTCAAAGTTTAAGTTTTTAGCAAGCATTTTAAAAAATTTATTGTAATCCTTGTAAATACAACAAGTCAGTAAAAATACGTTTTTAAAATTACTCTAATAACAGAAATTTTCATAATATCAACCAATTTCGAACGTTATACTTATACCAACTCCAATTGTTTCAAGGTCCATGATATCAACAATGGAACCTAATGCCTCAAAAAAAAAAAAAAAACCCTCATGTGCAAGAAACTGGGTACATAAAGCTGGCAAAATTTTTTCCTACATTGCCCTACTCCAATGACAACCAAAAACAAGAGATGCCGAGCATTCTCTAAAACCAAACCACAAGCACCACGTCCATTTTCCTTTAGCCATTCTTACCATGAAATTACCAACACAAATTCTTTGAAGTTATTGATTTCTCGTAAAATTTTCAGTTCCAAGACAAATTAATGATTTATCTTACATTAAAGAACTATTCTGATGTATGCAAACAAATTAAAGAAAAGATTAACTTCTTTTTTTTTTTTGATGAACAAGAATATAATAAAAATTAAAATGAATATTGTTCATGTAACAAACAACACGCGTAAACCCAAAAAATGTACTAGCAAACAATATGTAACTAATAATACTACTTTGGATCCACAAGTAATTAATTGAGAATATTTTTGGATAAGAACATTAAAAAAATCGTGATAAAAATAAAATAAATCCGAGTTGATGAAATTTCCAGCGGGTGTGTCGGCGAGGCGAAAGGCAATCAATTGGGACAAGAAGTGCAGTAAGTTAGAGTGAAACGTGGGGGGCCAATGGAAATCCCGTAGATTCTGGGTTTTGCTTTGACGTTGAAATTTCACATCCCCTGTTGTCTTTTATCCCAAAAGATGAGAACCTGCAGCAGCGCGCGTTCCAAATTAATTTCAGCCGATACGTTTTATGCTTCTGCTTTACCAATCCAAAACATGCATCGTTTTACGACAGTCTACGATGGATTTCGACGTGACCCATAAGCCTTTATAGGGTTGGC